AATACCGTTGATCTTGGCTGCTGTGAGCATGTATGATACAAGGAATATGTATGAAAAGTTTGCCATCAAGTATCTTGTGCATGTACTCCCAGATACGGTGTGACTGTGTCTGAAGTCAAGCATCTAAAATCAAAGACATCGAAAGCTACTTCTCAGAGCGCACAAGCCCCTGAGATGAAGCCCTTATTGTCTGGTGCTTCAAGTTATTTGTTCATGAAAAATGGTAGTTTGAAATTAAGTACACCAAGTGGAAGCTTTTTGTGTCTTCACAATGATGCCTTTTTGCAGTTCTGAGTGGTCTGACTACCTTGCAAGCCTCATCTGTTCCCAGTTTCCATAAACAATTAGTTTTGTCCGTAGAAGTGAAGAAAGATAGGTGGAAACCCCAGGATAACAGGGTCTCTGTTGAATTTCCTTGGCTCAGAAGAGCTGACAGGCCAAGGAAGCCAAGGTTTTAGAAATGTTTCAGACAGAGAGATAGCAAGGGGTTGTTCACTACAGAAATACGCCAACTAGCATTTGCTGTGCAATGGGCCATGCCAGTCTGCTTTTGTTTATTTCAGCCTAGTTCTAAACCAGAGGATGATTAGTGGTCTTTTCCCTGTGCCGCTTCTCACAGTGGATATAGAATCTGCATTCAGAGCAATTACTGTGCTGCAGCCACTGATATCGATTTGTGAAGATCTCAAGTGCAGATGACTAGTTAGTAGGCTTGATGGTGATTAAAATTTTAGGAAGGGACTTTGTCGTAGAACTGTGGGTGTCCTACCTTTTTCATAATGTGAGCATCTTCTGCGTCAAGGCAGTGGGGTCACAGCCTTGCACTCCCCTTGGATTTTTTAAGTCCTCATTTTACTAAAAAGATTATTTTTGACGTTTTTTCTTTTTTCCTTTTTCTTTTTTGAAAATATCCAGACAATTATACCAATAGAACACAGAAAGCTAATCACAAAAATACAATAGGCACTGTTCAGCAGAAAGGGTTGCAAGCATGTCCCTGGTGTACTGAAGTTTCAGGGAGTGCTACAGAAAGACTGAGATTAAAGGGACGGACAAAGGGCATGCTGACATTTTACCATGGAGTGAAAACATAGACCACAGCAAGAAGAAAACTTTATGGAGGTATGAATGATTGGTCTTTGAGAACAGATACTGAAAGGGAAGAAAAGAATTGAGAAATATGAGAAGGAAGTGCTGCTGGCACAGACAACAAAAAGTTACTTAGAATAGCACATGGAAAAGCTTTGGACTGCTGTTTGTTTTCAGAGCAATGTCTGAGAGAAATCAGTAACTGAGTGGGTCCAGAGTGCTGTTCACCTGTACCGCTGTTCTTTGCAGGGTTCGTGGTTTATAAGCTGTTGGATGCACAGCACTTTTCCTTGTTTAACTTGTGAAGTGTACGTTCACCCAGTTCCATTGATCATGTGCACAAAAGATAATGAAGCAGAGCGGGCAGTTGTATCAAGTTAGAAGCATTGAGTTTGAGGCTTTGGTGTTATCTAGGGCAAATCCAGCATGTAGTTTCCTTCTTCCATGTATGAAGCTCGTATTTATTGATCACTCTAGTTTTGGTATAAGAACCTTCAAATCCAGTCATCAGTCAGAACTGGAAGTTCTTTGTTATCAGTTAGGTTTATTCGTTTTGTTTCATACTGATGCCATGGGCTTAACACTGTTCCTTAATAATACTCAGGCTTGTAGAAGTACATTGTCCAGCTCAGCTTCTAAGGATGATACTTTTCCAATTGAAAAAGCTAAGAAAACCCACTAGTAGTGTACCTACATGTTTGGTAGTGTTGTGATAGGTCTGACTGATGTACTAAAAATGTAAGACTTCTGATGTATGGTCCACAGTTTGTAACACTTTGTTGCCAGTTGATGCTTTAAAAAATTATTGTCCCATGCATGTAAAATAATATATCTTCCTACAGAGCATGTGTTCTCAGGTGCAATGCAACGAAGAGCATGCTATTTATCTCCTGTATATACTCATTGTGGTCAAGATTTCATTTCTGAATGTCCCCCAGGCTTTTACATGCCGTATAGTAAATAATAAAGCTGAGGTAAGCTATAGAAAACATTACTTTCTCAAAGAGAAGGCAGCTTAGGATGTTCTCTTTCCACTTTACTTACAATCCATAGTTTATCTGTAATTCATGTTTTTAAACGTAGGTAATAAACATATTTCAGGTCTGTTGTGTTACCTGCTTTGAGGCCTTTATGTGATCACATGTGTGTGTCTGCAGCATAGCTGTCCAGACAACTTATATTCAGTGGAGAGTAACAGCCCATTCTAGGATAAAGTTTGTCTTCTCATGAAGTAATATCTAACACCATTCAGATGAACTACAGTGCAAAACTGCCTGTTTCTCCTCACTGCCTGCAAAGAGAGTTGAGTGTGGCTAGCTCAGAATTAAATATCTGTAGTGTATAACTGGGTAAGGTGAATGTTACTTTATGTGGCTTTCCAGGTGGTACGGAGGGATGTATAGAGAAATATCACAGGGCTACCATGGAGCAAGACAGCATGATACAAGAAAATGTGTCATTAAAAAATTCTGGTTAGTAAGCTGTCAGCAGAATCCATATGCAAGTGATGTCTTTCCGGATGTCAGCTGTGTACAGCTAATATTGATTTGAGCAGTATGTATTTTTATTCTGCCAGTCCTTTGCAACTGATTGTTCATGTTATTTAGTATTATGGGCTTAACTGTGACCTTGTGCTGTCACAACCAAATTAAGCCTATTTTGTACCAAAACAACAGAATGTGTATTTTCTAAGGTGGAAGGAAAGATCAAGCAGATAGGAAGACCTGGATATGGTTCTTGCCTCTACCTCAGATGTACTGTTTGACTTTAGGAACTCTTGTTCTCTACATCGTTGGGACAATTGATGGCTTAATTCTGACTTGAGTTGAAGCTTCTGCAGTCCCACTGCTGGCTGTCATAGTTTGAGACTAAGTAATATGCAGGTCATTGCAGCTGTAACCTTCCAGCTTTCGGGGATTGGTGGGTACAGACACTTGTATGCTGTTCATAAGACATTTAAGAGTTTGATGTGAATTATGGCTCATATCACAAGGGAAAACAACAGTGACAATCATGTCCCATCCATCAATGAGACATCTCATTCTGAATCAATTGTCTTTGCCTGAGAAGATGCGATAGTAGTGTCTCTTGGAGTCAGAATAACACTGTAAGGAGGAAACACACAAAACACCTAACTCTAGTCTCATGGGCTTTAACTAGGGCAACAAGTTCTTTGCTGGATGAATACCATTGTTGCATGTCTCTGAAGAGACAAAGTGTTCAGATCCATTGAATATAATCCTTGTTTCTTTGGAGAGTTCACAGCCTCATGGGGCTGTGTCAGGTCAGGAGGAAGAATGTGCTCACAAAGCTGTACAGTGTCTTCTGCAATAGCCCTGTTCCAGGTGCGCTTAAAGCCCAAGTGAATAAACAAGAATAAAAAGGAGATTTGCCAAATTACAAGCTTAGTCCTTCTGCAGCTTTTTAGAGCTGTTTGTTGCTGCATCTGTCTATCTTGAACGGAATTTTAACTAGCAGACCCAACGTTTTGGCCCTAAATCTGCTGATGATAGCAGGTAAAGGAAAAATGCCCTACGAAGGTACTCCCTTCCCACCCACTTGGTGTCAATCATCAGGAAGTAGAGACTTGAAATGGAAGTTGAATGTTTAGGAGAAAAATACCTTGCCATGAATGTTCTTAAAAATGCAGAAGAGGTTAAAGCAATGCTGGCACACAGACTTTTCTGAAACTTCCCAGTCCCTAGCAGAGGAGAACAAAAAATTCCAAACCTTTTCTAGCTGGAGAATTGTTAGACTTTGTCAAGCAAAGCTAAGGATTAATCAGGACATAAATCATCTTGTTATTGTTAACATTTTTATAATGGTTATTAGTTAATGCGCATGATGATTAAGGGTTGGAGCTGCCTCTGATTGCAGTCAGTGGGAACTGAATTAAGGTCTAAATCACTGTTTGAACCTCACTTTTGATTTCCTGAAAAATAATGAGGCTTTGAACAGAACAGCATCTAATTTGTCTATCACTGGAAATGAATGTTTCTCTTCCCTCACACATCTATTAACTTGGAGGTCAGGCAGCTAACAGCAAACTGGTTGTTTCACCCTTAGCCTTAATCTAGGATTATGATTTGGATGATGGGACCAAGACTGATTGTCAGAGGTGCTGCTGAGGCTGCTGTACAATGGGATTGGTACATGCTTGCCGTCAGTACTGCCATAGTACTGGCCATTTGGGCTGTCCCAGGGATGGAGGCCAGCAGTGCCAGTCCAGGGGAACCTTCAGCAATGGAAGCAAAGCCTGAGTCCATAAACCACTTATATGCAGTACTCAATGTCTTTATGTTGTTGTTTGTTAATTCAGAGTGAACAAACCATAATTTTCTGAGTCAATTTGACAATTCTTTTATTAATGGAACACTGTTTTTATTAGATCAGAAGTGATAAAATGTCTCAGGATGAATTGAGTTTTAAAATTTCTTAATTAATGAGGGAATATTGATCATTAAGAGTGTCAGTTAAGCAAATTTGCATAAAATGTCCAATATAAAGGAACAGCTATAATTAGTATGCTGGCAAACACTATTATCTCATCAATTAAAGTCTTCTGTATCCCACCCAGAACAGAAATGCATTCTTCAACCAAATCAGGAGACACATCACAATGTCAGGTGCCAGTGAGAACAGAAACATGTCTCCAGGTGGAAAGAAGTGAAGGGGTCAGAATAAAAACAAAACTCATAAGTGCAATGTCATTGACTTGATAAAATGTTAGAATTCCTTTCGAATTTTCAAGCTTTTTTAAGGAAAATTCCAAATTGCTTTCAAAATGATCAGCTCATATTTGTGAGTATGAGTTTAGGTCCAGCTAAATAGGATCTGCTGTGGAATTAATATCTCAGACATTCATGGTATCTGTTGTTTTTAACATCTTTGTATCAATCTGTCTTTTATAGGTCCATGATGGGGTCTGGTAGAGACCCTGATCTCGTGCACCTGGAGGCAAAGACAGTGGATGGTCGTAAGTAGATCAGCTTCCAATTGTTGTGGTATTCTGGACTGTCCCTCTTATTCTTGTAACCACACAATATCATGACAAAAATCTGACTTCTGTTTAGCGATTCACTCATTTAATATGAGGGTTTTGACTGTTCCAAGGCAGGTCTGTCAGAAGATAAGTCTTTCAGCAAGGCAAAAGGTTGGGATTAACAGGCTGTGAAAGGAGTCAAGAGCATGGTAAGGAAGAACAGGTGATAAGCAGTAATTAGAGTTAATATATACAGGACTTTCTTCCTTTTGTTCATGGAAACATGACATTGGAGAGAAGTTCCTGGGTCACAGAGTCTAGCTGCTGTTGTTTCACACAGTACGTAAGATCACCTTGTTCATAGCTTTGCAGTTTTAACAGACCGGGGATACTCTGCCTTAGGTACTACCTTTGAAAATACCTCATTTCTCTCTCATTAGAAACCTTTTAATGACCAACCTAAGTGTATTATTCACTGTTATTGCTGGTCCTGTCATTGTTGTTCGCTTTCATCAGCTCCTTGCCCTCCCTACTTTGCCTCTTGAGCTACTTTTCTCCATTCCAGGAGCCTCCTTTACCTGCAACTCCAAAATATTCTCCTAATTGGCTGTAAATTCTCTCAGGCACCCTGAACCACCCACTGGCCTTTTCTCCTTCTATCTGTGCTTCCCCAAGGTTTATTCCTGAGCTCCACTGCTTTTGCAGATCTTCCTCCGTGGACTTCTTTTCCACAACACTGGATTGCCTCAGGCAGGCACCACCCTGAAAGCCTGGCTGCCATAGATCTTGTAATTCCTTATTTTTTCCTCTGTTAAATAGCAGCTTTACTGCAACATAACAAGCAGATTTTTACCATTTGCGATACAAAAGTAATAATGATGCAGTCAATTAATTTATTTAAAAATGGATAAAATTGTCCTCTGGATTGTACACCCAAATGCCATGGTGTCTTTTTTTATTGGAAACTTAAAAACTGTCTGAAAAGGTATCTGTAAGGTAATTTTTTTTTTTAACTCACTGAAATTTAGCATGAAAGAGAATTTTTTGGAAGATGAATTTTTAAAAGAAACAGTTGTGATAGAAACCATAAAGTTTTAAAGGTCTTTCCGTTTCAAGATACGCAAGATTAGTGAAAGCGAATGAATGTATTATCTCTATTTCTTATCATCTGTGATCTCTGATTATTATTTCTCCTCTCAGTTTCACTTACCTGAACATGGCGGCAAGGTTGGGAACATGAGGCTTTCTATTTCTTGGGACATGCTAAATGAGAATGAAATACTCTAGCAGGGCAGTGTCTATTTCAGCACAAAATATTACTGTTATAATCATTAAGAATTTGAGGTCATTGAGATGAAGCACTGAAATTTATGTTTAAGGAGCTGTATTCTGGTGATGCTTTTGAGGAGTGTGCAACACACAGTGGGCAGAGAAAGTACTGTGCTCCAAATGCCTTGAATGGTCTTGTTTGGGTTCTTAGGCAGCAATAAGAACATTTTGCACAACTATAGCACATTTCTGCAACAGACTTGTTGAGTGCTTAACAAATTAGTAAGCTTTGTTACACCTCTCTAAGGTGCAAACCAAAAAACAGGTATGTGAAACTGACCTTACTGAGGAGTCGGGCACATTAGTAAAGAATTGTGGAATAACAAATTATTGCTCATCAGATGAGCTCTAATAACTGATTCTGTGCACTTTTTTTGGCTTAGTTGTGAAGCAGCACAACTGAAGTTTCTCTGATCAGGCAGTGACAGAACTACTGGTGTCAAACCTTCAGCCAGTGGTCACTCCTGTTGCAAACGAGTCATCCAGATCAAAGTTCTACTGATGAGTCAGGAGGTCCCCAGCTCAGCTTCTTGGCAATATGTGTTGGATTTTCAGTAAGTTTGTGCTCTGTTTTGCCCATTGTTCCAGAGAGAGTTGGTCTTTGGCAGAGGACTATGGTGAGTAGCCCAGTAACCTTGGGTCATATCACAGCATTTTTTCCCTGAAGACTTTTGCTAGCAGGTCACAGGATTTTCAGAATGAGACAGGCTACAAGTGTGTACATGGTCTGTTCCTCTAGTTAACAACTTGGTATATTCAGGTCTCTTGGCCACTAGATCCTTCTTCTAAGTACTAAATTCTTTCCCTGGACAAAGTAATTATGATCTTCCAATAAACCATTCTCCTCTGGAGTGAAGCAGGTGAGTCATTGCCAGTGAGGTGATGGAGTGACGTGTTGAAGTGAGAAAGATAACTTTTTTCCAAGCTGAGGTTAATTTGCAGTTAATTTTTTGTGGGGTTTTTAAAAAATGTTTTTGCATTTACTTATTTATACTTTGTTTGGAGTATCTGTTTTGAAAGGTAACCAAGTGTAAAAATTCAATAAAGGGTTTAAATTTTAGAATGTAGAGTTGCCAAAACAAGGCAGGGAGAAAGAAGGAAAGAAAAGCAGGGGGAGAGGAGGGGAGGGGTAGTGGAAACAACCACACAATCTGTACACTGAAATAAAAGATCCTGAAGTGGTAAAATAAAGGCTAAGCCAAAACCTGCTAAACTCCATACAAATATGAAAAAGCACCTCATTCTTGTGCTGGTATCTTTTCCAGCAGAAGCTGAGTAGTACAACTGCAGGTGAGAAGAAGTAGAAATCTCAGAAAATTATGGTGTTAGCCCATCTCCCTGGTGGGGTTGTTTGAGAGCATCTGTCAGCAACAATCTTAGTATTGGGCTTTTCCTGCTAGAACACCAGTAACTCTCTGTCTCTGCTCCCTGATTGTGGTCTGTCTGTGCATTTTATTTATTGTGTTTATATACATAATGTAAAAAGTTTACAAGGATCAAAACAGGAGTCTCTTAGCAGGCATAAATAAGTATAACTTCAGTGGCATGTTAATTTATACCTGCTGAGGATCTGGCTAGCAATGTGCTACCTGAGATCATACTCTCCCTACTTTTCTCTTCCCTTGGGATCCAGAAAAGTCTGGACTCTGTCTGAACACACTGTGTCTCTTCAAACGAGTGTGCAGGTAGTGATGAGCGAAATGAGTACAGACTGTGCAATTTGGTTGTCTTGATGGAGACATTTGCAGGGCTAATCATTGCCATTTATGTTTTTAATCCTCTTGTGTAAATGTTGAAGACCACAAGGTAAATTTTTTATTTCGTCAAATGTGATGGTTTTATTTCTTTTTAAAGGCTTCAGGCCAATCTGAGTCAGGCTGGGACTAGGAGCACAGTAGTGATTTTTCTGGTTGGAATAGGTTCATATGAACCTTATCTCACATTTTCATTTGTACGCTAGGGTATCCCTGGTGTTCCACTTTGATTTTGGAACAGGATCAAAGGCAAACCAGCAAAGCCAGCAGGAACTGTGAATTTTTCTTGCCTGGTTTCAGGTCAACACCCCAGTAAGACAATTAATCCCCTACAGTTCTTAACCGCATGATAAGCTTCTCTTCATTACATTTACCACCATAGTCAGCAGGCAGAATGACTAGTAGAAGTTAAATCCAGGTTTCCTCAGACGTAGTCTGCAGCACTTTCAGAAGCACTTAATGACATGTGGGTTTTCGGTTTGTAAAGAGTATGCAAGTTTTGAAAGATCCTTAGTTAATGGGTTTATCTGGTTTGAGCTGGGGAGAGTTATCCCAGTAAGGCCTGATTCAAGCTAATTGACACGAGAGGTAATTTTTATACAGGTGGTCCCTACTGAGGAATCCAAACTGTTGGTGAGAATTAAAAAGATGGATTCCTACAAGGCACTTGGAGAATAACTGGGTACCTGCTCACCCTCCGCTGAATGGCAAAGCTGACTTTGAGGATGTCTAAGTGACAGCTTCTATAGATGCAAGTCAAGAAAACCAACTGTTACATTTATGAGAATATGCAGTCACTTATGTAGATAGATGCCAAATGATTTTGAGTAGTTCTTATTTTATCTAGTTTATTTCTTTAAGTAAGCTTCTGTTATTTAAAATGTGCTTTTGTTTCCTTTGTATTTCTTCTGCTGTTCTGATTTATACCTCAACTTTTCTTATTGAGAGGTAATTTGGGTGCTGCTGTGGTTGCAGATAAGACCAAAGCCTCACCTGTGGTCAGCAACCATGCTCTGCTTGCTGACCAACAGGGACTGAGCCTCTGGCCAATAGTGTCTGAATCACAAAGTTGTACTGGGACTTTAATTTCTGTTTTCACAGAACATTGCTAGGAAGAAATAATTACTGTGGAAAAAACAAGTAGGCAACCTAGCCGGACAGTCTTTTGCTAACGTAGTTAGAGTGGTGAATTAATTCCCATGGTGCCCTAAACCTGTGCAGTGATTTTTTTCCTGATCATGATTAGTATTTTGTCCTAATCATGTTTAGTATTTGTCCTGGAGAATGACATCTGTTAGTTTCTCTAATTATATCCTTATGCCAGAAATGTCAGAGGATATAATTCTCCATGTAAAGAAACATTCATGACTCTGACATGCAATGAAGAAAGAGTAGCAGCAAGATAAAAACAGATTTGTGAGTAGCTAGGAAATGGGATGGCTTCATTTCACTGATCTTCATTACTGGCTAATTGCTTTGCAGTTGCTGAGTCCTGGAGAGTAGTGAATATATTCCCATCTCTTAAATGTTTCACAAATCAACATTCAGACCAGACAGAAATGGATAAAGAATAGTTATTTTGTGTGTTTCTCAAAAAAGGAATAAAAGCTTTAATGTATCAGAGAACATTCAGTTAAATTGTAGTACTCATTGCCATGGGAGGCTGTGGATGCTGTAGGTGTACCTGGGCTGCCAAGGCACCTGGACAAATTCTTATAATCTCTTCTAGGCTTCTGTTGTTAGTCGCTGTTGGAGAACGGTTACAGACCTAGTTCTGTCAGTGAGATATGTTACTACCATGTTCTTACAGTTCATTAGTTACAGGATGCCAGTCATCCTTCAAAAGCAGAAACTATCCCTTAAGGATATTCCATTGTAAATCTGGAAGACAAACAAGTCATAGATTGTGTGGATGCTCTTTGCATAAACTAATTTGTCCTTAGTGGATTTATTTGTGAAGAGAAGGACACATTCCTCAATGAATTAAAGATGATAAATAAAAATCGGGAGGAATGATACAGTCATTGTGGGTACACTGAATATTTTATTTGTCTCTCCTTGTGATCAAATAAGATTTTCAAAATACATCCATGCAAGCTTAGGCTGGAAAGCAGTGGGTATTATGGCTCGATATGTCATATAAAATAACACTCGGCAAAAAAGTATCCTAAAGAAAGTCCTACTCTGCTTTAAGAAAAGATTTGAGACTCTCCCCTGTACATTTGTAGAGGCTTGTCGACCTCCAGTAACCATCAATGACCTTCCATCTCCACCAGCTGAACCAAGAAATGTCTCTGGGACAGGCTGGATGCATTTCCCTTGAGAACATATTAGCATGAAGCTGGAGACAAACAGAAAAGACTAAAACATTTCATGGCATTGGGTCCCCCCCGGCACTTAACTTTTGCTATGTGTTAGCATTTGCAATTCTCTTTCAGCACTGAAACAGATTAATTTTGTCAGAGGTTTCCCTTACAAGATGTTTCCTCCATTCTTGTGTTCTGTGACTTCGTTGCTTCCTCTTTAGAAGTAGCTGCCATTCCCTGAGAAGAATCCTACTCTGGGTGTCTAAACCTGTCAAAATCAAAGTGTCTTGGCTGTAAGAGCTGGGAGTTGCTATGTTCTTCTCTCCAGGCACAGTGTGACTTTGTTGTTGTATATTAAAAACAGCAGCTGTTGTTAGAGGTAAGGGTTCTGCAATTGAAAAGCAGAATGTCCTAATTACCTATGGCAGAGAAAACATCTGTGCAGGAAAACTAATGAAATTAATTCCAGAGCTTAGCAACTGAATACATTAATTGACATTAATTAATACTAAATGACAGAGCTCTGCCAATGGAATCACATAATATGTCCGTGAGAATCAAATGCCAAAACAAAATTCTTGAGTTAATGTAAGCACAGCAAAACTTCCCATATGAAAAAAAGAGGGATCCAGGCACTGCAAGAAACCTGTTTTCCTTTTTTCTGTCTCCCATAGCAGAGGGAGGTTTCTTGGTGTGCCCGTCTTGGGGTTTGGCTGGTTGGGAGATTAGCTTAAGCAATTTCAGCACTCTGCCCTTTAGTAGTTATTACTGGCATTTTAGAATTGAAGCCATGGAGAATTGCACTGTAAAAGTTCACAGGAATTGCCGTAGTAAATCTTCATCAGTGGTACAATCACTGCTGTACAGACTCCTGTGATCACAGCAGAAATAGACATAGTCCCCATTCCTCCATTGAAACAGGTTTGAAAAAGCTTCAGTCACCTCTAATGGATGTCAACCTGGCCTGCTCTTTAAAAGCTCTCATGGGGGAGATTTCTTAATCTCTTTTGCTGGCTGGTCCCAGGAGCACCTGTCCTGTTAGTATCTCCCTGTGCTCTCAGGATAGATAACCTGTCTCAGTGGGAGGTAAGACAGCACTGCAGCCTCCTCTGAGTGTCTCCCAGGTTGCTGGTGTGCTTGTGGAAGTAAAAGAAAACAATGATGGTGGGGGAAAAAAAAGGTAACAAAGTGGGAAACAGAGGTCTGATTCTGTACTGCTCTGTGATGGGTGATTCAATCCCATGTGTGAAAAGCCACCCAGTCTTGCCAACAGCTCAGGAGGCTGTGGGGCCAGCCATTTCCACTGATGCTGTTTTGTTTAAACTCAGGATGACCTCAGAATGAGAGATGAACATGGGGGGACTATCCTTCCTGATACGGGTTGAGTTAACAGGAGAGGTGTGGGGACTGGTTGTGTTGCAGGTGAAGAGATGCATGCCCCTTCTTCGTCTTATGACTAGGAGGGGATGTGCTGCATCACACAGTAGTGTGGGGTGGTGGAACAGGCTCTGGCCCCCTTGGCCTCCACCTTCCTGGGAGGAGAGGGACAGAGGGCTGAACAGTTCCGAAAGGGAACTTTCCTGAGCTCACTGGAATGAGCAGGCTGAGAATTACATCATTCCCTGCCCTCTTGTGGCTAATGTGGAAAAAAATCATGTCCCTCTGAAGGGAAATGCGTTTCGACCATGCTGTCTGGGCTGTATCAATTAATGGTTTGCACTGAGCTGCAAAAGCATAAAATGTTATAAACTGCAGTGACTAATAATACTTAGCACTTTATATATTCCAAGAGCTCTGCAAATGCTGGGATAAAATCATCCCTCATCAAACTTTCCTGAAGGTTCGTTACCCTGCATGTCTGTTTCAAGCAGAAGTCAACAACCCGTAGAATCAAGGAAAGAAATGTCAAACGATGGATTTTAATTAAAACCAAGATGAAATATGAGATGATAAAAATCTAGCCATTTCTGTTTCGGTGTAAAATGCTACTTCTCTGATCAGAAAGTCGTAATTATATCAAACAAGCAGCTGTGCTTCTCCAACAAGGAAAAAGATTAGAAGTAGTTCTAAGATTAAATACCATGTAGTGTTTCTTTCATATAAGTGCTAATGCTAAAATCCCCAAATCCTTCTTCCTGTAAATAAGCTTTGTCATTAAACAAAGAGGAACTTCTTAATTGATCTGAAAGAGAACAAATTGAATACTGAGAATCTGGTTCTGTATTCTAGGATAAATTACCACCATGAAGAAATTGAAATTGTTTTTCTTCAGGTGATGGATTATGAGATGCGCACCCTGCAGTTCTTCAGAATAGGATCTGAGGACATCCCATACAGTGACAGTGGATCAGATAGCTTTAGGTCTGCATTTAGGCCATTTACTTTGAAACATATGACTGATTGAAACTGCTAAGGCCTCTAGTTTCAAGAGAGTGTGGAATGATTGACCAGGTCTGCCAGAGCGCACCTACCTATGCTGTCACCAGATAAGTAGGTAAAACCCCTGAACAGGAGGTGGTCTGAGTTACTTTTCAAGGTGATCTGAATTACTCTGCAGAGTGTAAGTGCTGTAGGAAATACAGAGGTATGCCATGGAAGGGGTTCTCAGTGGTGACATTATGAAGAAGGTGTCCTCTGCAGGTATCCTCATACGTGGGTATGCACTGGACCTTGCCCATGTTCTAAATAAACTCTGCATGTGACCATGGAGAAGCTGTTGTGCTCTAAAGCACATCCCACACCGTGGGGATGACAGGGAAACTATAGAAGCTCAGCACAGAGAGTATCTGTGCTGCAGCATAGACACAACTCTTCAGACCCATATTACTTTGGGAGTCACAGGACTTGGGCTGTTTGTTGTGTCTGTAAAGGGTCCTTTACAGCTCTGTTGTTCCCTCACTCAGTTCATTGCTTTAAGTTTAAGCCTGAGTAGCATTCAAGTAAACTCAGCAGGGCAGGTAACAGTGCTGAATTGTATGGCCTTGACTAGGTTTCTGTCAGACCTGAGCCACAAGTGCCACCTTCAAATGTTCCCTCTGGTCTTCTTCCATTGTGGAACCACAAGAGTGGCATGGAATAATCAGATCAGCTATGCTGGGCTCTCTCTTGGTATAAAGGAGCAGTGTATAGCTCTGATGTAGGGGAAATGAAAGAATAATGGGAGGCTGAAGCAGGTGAAGAAGGAAGGAACAGAAAGTAATCAGGGGTGGATTCATGAGGGATGTAAGAGAAAGAAGGGTTGTGTTGTGTTGAATGGATGGTGTGACTTCATGTCACATGAGGCTGGGAAGCAGAAATGCTGCCTCAGCAAATAGATTTGTGACACTAGGAGCAATCTGTGCTCGTCTTGGTTTTGTGCTTTTCCTTTCAGATGCCCAATACATCACCTGCAAGATGCAGAACTGCAGTGAAGCCGCTCGCAGCAAACCCTTTCCAGGCTATATTGACCATAACTCCCTGATCGTCCAGGATGATTATGTCTTTGTTCAGGTGCAGAATACCCTCTTCTCTTATTTATTCTATTATTTTATATTCTATTATATTTTATTTTCTCTTCTCTTCCTTTGCATGTGTGTGCATGTGTGCTAGCCTGCAACTAATTAGATAACACTAGATCCATATAATAAAGGCACTGAGTGGGTTGTAGCAGTTCATTTTAATGCTGATAGTGTTCTTCTTACCTCTAGTGTCTTGTCACTGTAAGGTCACAGAGTTCCTGCCTAGAGCATCCACCATTATGTACTGGAGTGTTCTATGCCACTCACTGCAGTCTCATCAGCACTCTAGGTTTAGTGCTGTAACCCCCCAGCTTTAAGTGATGTGTCAGTCATCTGCTATCACAAGGGAGTAGGCCAAAGCTTTTTTGAGCATGAGAGAGAAATAGAAAAGGAGGGAGGGAGTTAGGGGAAGAACCAAAGAAGGAGTAATCAGGCTTTATTGTTATACCTCAGTTGTGATTATAGTGAAAAGGCTAAAAGTGAGATGTACTCAGCCAAGCTGTGTTCCAGGTGAGAGCTGGCATATAGATCTGAACTACTGTGGGTTTCATTAGCCTGCTGCCAGTGTCCATTTAATAACAGCTGAAGAGGACCAAAAAATAACAACAGAATTGCAGGGACCATGGAGATGAACTGGAAATCATCAGGACTAAACTGGTCTTCCAGACAGTTTGTGTTCTGCCATGCTTGGGGGTGGAGGGAAGAGAGAGGACCGATATTTTAAATTGATTGAGTTGATTGTTAATTACCTTCAGTTAATGAACTCAGTCATAAACACCAGTCTAAATAATTCACAAATAAATCTGGGACATACGTTCCAGAATAGCTTTGGTGCCCAGTGTGTCTGAGGCATAAATGAAATGTTTATATGGTAAGAAAACAGGGGCATGCATCACTGTTCAGGCATGCTCACTAATTTCAGAATGGCTGCATGCTTGTGGCTCGAGTGACACAGGAGCTGGGAATTTCTCTTAGTATGTGAATTGATTCATTACTTCATCACTCATACCTTAGCTTTGTGTTCATCAAGATTGTTAATGTTCTCTGTTCTGACCTGATGTTATTACACACTGTAGAGAAGCCAACCCCTTTGCCCCATCTGAGCTCAGCGCTGGGGAGATTGTGTGCCTTTCTGAATAGCCCCTGTATCTTGAAGCATTTCTCTTTCTGTCTATAAGCTGTTGTGTAGTGTTCCCAGTGCTGTCAAATTTCAACTTTGTTACACCTCCGTACTAGCTGCGTGGTGTAAGGAATATGTGAGGAGAGGCAGTCTCTGGTGATGTTCCCCTTAATGCCCAATGGGACTTTGCACAACTTTATACATTCATGTTTGTAATGCAGTTTGAGAAGGTATCATGGAATATTTGTATTTGAAAAGCTCCTATTTTAATTCTTAAACTTCTTAGGATTCTTAAACAGAAATAAAAATAACAGGTCAGAGAGATAGTGCTTGCCAATCATTAATAATTGACACTTACAGGTATGAAATAATAATATAGTAATCCCTGGAAACAGCCTCTGTTTTTTTCCTAGTAGTCAATTCACCGTTGTCTGGCAATTTAAAATTAGATTCTTCAAGTGGTTACCCATAGATATATATGGTTATATCTGGCTTGCAAGGAACAGCTAAATAACATTCTGTGGCTGGTGCTGGACCCTGCCTTATCCCAGGCGCTGTTCTTCAGAGGATGAGTTGCCCAACACCACACAGTAAAGGCTTGGAAGAACAGATGAATGCCCTTAGCACGCTCCGCTAGACTTCCATACCTTCCTTGATCTCCGTCTAGCTTTTCTGAAACTAAGGCATTTGGAATGAGAATTAGTAGGCTCAAAAACATGATGATAAAGGAATGTGGTTTTATTTCTCCCACTCCTTTTCTTTACAAGCTCACACTCTCTCATAAACAATGCTTCTGACCTTCTTTCCCTTAACTTTTGCACAATTCCCTTAAAAAATAGTTGAGCTTTAGAGCTTCAGAATAAGAAGTAGTTCATGTTTTACTTAATCTGGTATGAACTTAGCCTCTGTGTATCTTGCATTTTAAACTACTGCAGTGCCCTGCAGTGCATTTTAAAACCCTTACTACTGAAGAAAAATCATGATAAGCCCAGATATCAGGCAATTAAAGCAAAGTTCTGCATGAAGTATTCCATGGAATATTTGTTCTTCAGTATCTTTCATCCAACAATTTTGAAGTATTTTACAAACATTGGTTATGCTTCAGCAGCACTGGAAGCCAGATAACGTTGACAGCTTTTTTTATTTCTGTTTTTTTACCCGTTTCATAGATGGTAGGAAATGAAACCTCACATTGCTCTAACCCAGCCTTTCGAGGTATTGCAATCAGTATTTAGGCACATAAATAAATGTCTAGATTTACAGAAACACCAAATCAACTAAGCTGCTTCTGCCTTCAGGAGCCCTGAATGCCTAGCTGATCTGGTAACAGATGCACATGATGGCTTGTACAGGGCCACACAGGAACCAAAGCTGGAGGCAGAAATAGAAATCAAGTGTCAGGTCTGCCAGTCTGCTGATCTAATGAATAGCCATCGTGGGAGCTCTGCAGATAGCGAAGAACAGATTGGTTTGTGGTAAGTCAGAGGAGAGCTCTGGTATCAGCAGGTGATATAATGGCTCAAGTGAAGCCAGGACATCACTTTCCCCAGACTTTTACCTGAAATTCTGGCATTTCTCTCTTTTTGCAGAAAATGGGATTCCTTTTGCTCTCTTTTTCAGATGCTGTCAGTTGGATCTATGTTTATTCATCAGCTGTAATAGTGATGCAATTTTAAGCCATTGCCACCAACACTGTGGTATTTCCCGTGGCAGCTTTTGCTTGGTATTTTCCCTGATAATTTAAAAAGAGATTTTTAAAAATCCTGATGATAACTTTCCTGCTTCTCTCATAGTTAACATCAGGAGGAAGACCACATTATTACGTTTCTTACAGGAGGAATGCATTTACTCAGATGAAGCTGCCAAAATACTCTTTGCCCAAGGTAGGTTGCTGTTGCTGGAATGCCCATATGAACCTACAGATATTTTGATTGTACCGAAATTCTTGAATCCTAGACAAGTAACTGTAAGATAACATGCAATGAGCAAAAACATCATTCTTTAACAGAACATTTGCCAGCAAGAGAGGACTGAAAACAAAGTCAGCACTTTGGCTAGTCAAGGGCATCAGTATGAAATTTAGGCAGCCCATGTCAATTGCCATTTGTTTGTGGTTAGTTAATTAAGTTTTGGAGAGGAATCTCTTCCCCCCCCCCGCTTCTTTTTGGGCCTTAAAATTCCCTTCTCCTGTCCCTATCCTGTGTGGGTTGCTTTTTGTGCTTTTTGTGCTTTGCCTCATTAGCAGATTTTAATAGGAACCAAGCAAAGAGATGTCTTTGTGTGTCTGCTCCATATCTTCCCTAATTAAGAACAATGGTGAATTAGCATTGGAGCTTGAAAGGCTATTACTGCTTTCTGGAGCTGGATTTTTTAAAAGACCTATATAAAATGTTAGCTCCATTTTGAAGAAATCACCATTTTGCATCTGGGCTCCTAATGGCTTCTTAATAAAGACAGATAATTTTTTTTTTTTGAGGCCTTTTCTTTCTTGATATGGTCTGGCTTAAATGAAATTTAAGCTCAAAGGTAGCAAATGATCTTGTGGATTCTATGTGAGGTCTAACATCTGGAGACAAATGCATTCCCAGAAATTAATCAAGAATTGTCAGAAGGAAAAAAAGAAAGTGCAAGATCAGCCAGTTCCTAGGAGTTGAAAGAAGACCAGATTTGGTGGGTAGAAATATTCAAAGGGATAATTTGGTTAATATCACAGCTGGCTGTCTTTGATTCCTCAATCCAACTGACTTGTATAGTGGGTTGACTGGGTGACCGCTATCATATAACTAGACTGCAGCTCAAACCCAATCCTGCAATGTGCCATACCTTACCTACTCTGCTGTTGTACCCTCTGCTCCTGTTTACATCACTTGAAAACTCAGTCTTCAGGACATTGAGGACCCTACCAGAAGCCATGTTATCTTCTTGGCTCTGATGCAGGAGGCCTGTGTTCTGCCCCAAGATCTTCAGTCACATTTAAAGATAGGTCCTGTCCAAGCAGGATGGAACTTCTCTGTCAATTCAGTTCAAATTTAAACAGGTGTTATTTGAAGTAGCCCTTAGCAAATGAGTTGCATTTTTAGCCTGGTTCTTGCAAGAACCGAATAATAATTTACGGTGGATTCAGGCCATCTATAGACAGACTCCTTGCTTTAAACTGGTTGTCTCCTGTAGCCCACGCTTATTTTTCAAACTGTCCAGCTTCTGAAAGATCTCTGGAGAGCCAGGGAAAATGCACTACAATTAAACTGCAGTGCATTCTCAGAGAATAGGAATTGGAGCAACACATTCATGTTATTTGATACAAAGAAAAAGATACTCAAGGAGATAAGATGCTTTGTCACAGTCTCGCAATATTGTCAAAGACCGAAGAGCTACATTTGGCTTGGAAGGAGCTACAGTGGAACTGTGGCTGTCTAGGAGGCTGCTATCAAAGCAGGATAGTTGCTTTTATTAAAAAATTCACAAAACGTTATACTATTCAAGGAATTGAAACAAACAGCTTCTTTTATGCCTAAATTCTCTTTTATCTTCTTCAGCTAAGAAAGTGGGACCAAATATGGTAAACAGTACTAAATGACTTCTGGAATTGAAGACAGAAATATCAAGCTTTTTTGTCTCTGCATGTCACCCTTCCTAAACTGGAGGGGTGTGATGGCAGGCAGCTTTGACAGGTGGTATTGCTGCTCAGGCAGCAAAGGCCTATAGCAAATCAAAACTAAAATATTTTTGTTGTTGCCGTCGATAGCCTGGTAGGCAGTTTGATTAAAAGCCTAAATGAACTTGAAACACTCTCCCATACAAGAAGATGTCTGATCATGTACGTACAGGTTTTATCAACCCTATAAATGGTGTTTATTGAGACCTGTTAGTTTCTGTGGGTTGGCAGTGCCTATTCTGTACCACAGCACCAGAATGTGGGCTCTGCCACAGCCTCTGTGCTGTCACTCTTGATAATCAGCTTAAATGTACACGCAGGGTACATTCACTCCATTGTAGACCAATGCACAGGGCACACATCTGTGAATACTGAAGCAAGCCAAGCAATTTCTCTTTTAAAAAGACCTGTCCTTAACTAGTGCTGGGCTGAATACTGATGGGATGGGTGCTTGTGGTACCTCTGTTTTAAATTCATCACCTTCTTTCAACCTCAGGATGCACATCCTGATGGAAGAAGGAATAACCACCAAAAAAAAATCCTTAAATACAGACCTTAAAAAGAGCTGACAGTCCCAGTAATTGACAGGATAAAACAGGCATTATACACATGCCTGCTACTTAACTTGCCAGGAATAAAAGTTCCTTGAACAAGTGCAAAAAGGGCAATTGAAGCATGTTTAGTAATTCAGAAAGCCTTGGCGTTTAGTGATTTGAGTAGACACATGATCAAACCCATGCACAGCATCATGCACTTACTTTTGTCTTTGGAAAGGCAAGAGGGACAGATAGTAGAACTGCATATTAATATACTTCCGCTATGTGCTGGAACAGAGAGAGGAAAACTCGTGCTTTTAGTCAGCAGATGCATGGGGAGCCCCTGCCCCTGAAGATGACAACAACTGTTTGAGAAAGGTGTCTTGCTTCACTTTTCTGTCCTCTTCCCTTTCTGTAGGGAGGTAAAATGGACATCTGTTGTAGTAACTGAAGATGCAGTGGAGCTCTTGCTTCATATCAAGATGAAGGCTGTCTTTTTGTATTATTCCTCGCTCACAAAAAAGCAACCCCACCCTGAAAAAAATAAAATAGAAGTGAATATGATATGCTGATTAATTTTAAATTTCCCAATGTGCAAAACAAAAAATTCCTGATTTTGGTAAAAGGCCCATTTCATGCCCATATGCTGATCCCTTTTTATCAAAGCTTTGCATTATTACTGTATCTACTGGACAAGGCCATTTTAAGAGGAAAAGTTAACTGATCTCGAAGGGCAAACAGTTGGAACACTGTATTTTTTGCATCTTCTGGGATGCATTTTTCTCCAGCGCAAAGAAGCAAGAAGGTCAAGTGAATATTTATCCACTCCATACTCAGATCTGGATCTGGATGAACTGTTCTGAACCTTAACTTCATGGTGAATCCACTTACAAATTTATAGATCAGATTTCTTCCTTATATTTTTTTAATCTTTTCATGACAGGGCTCCACCTGTGTTAATTCCCCCTACAAAACCACAGCAAAGTGAATTGTCAAATACTATTATTAACAGAAGGTAGAAGCAGCATCAGCTTCTAAAGAGTATATTTTCTCATAAAGTTTTTGCATATAGAAAGCCCTGGCTGTGATTCATGGAAGTAGAATAACTTTGGGATATCTGCCCAAAACCAGATAGAACAGCTGAATCTTCTGGGAATCACCTGGTGCTAAGAAATCTGCATTTCTTTTCCTACCTCCACAGATTTTTATGGCACCAAAGAACTCAGGGTGCCTGTGCTGATCAGATAGAACCTGGTAATTCCATTTTAACAATCTCTCTCGGTGGCTTTTTCCACGGGGTAATAATTTCTCCAGGCATTGAAAGAGGGAATCAAGTTTCATAGTTTCAGGTTTTTTTCTTTAATTATGCAAACTTTTCATTGCTTCCTGCTTGCTGTGGCACACAGAACAAACAGAGTAAACCAAAATCTCACTCATAATACTAGTGATCTAACTACAATTCTGTTCTCTAAATCTAGTAAGGATTGGGGTTGTCTTTCTGTATTATTTGGGGAGTGTTTAGCACAGTGGTCTGGGGTCTTGGCTTCTAGTTGACACTGTCACCAGAAATAATAAATAACAGCAGCAATATAACACTGCTGTATAACACTGTACTGCCGATGTACATGTTCAATTAACACCTCATCAGTTAATTGCCACTTTGAAAATTGGCAGAAGAGAGCTAGTGTAAAATATTTGTGGATAGTATTCTCTGCTTACAGGAGTTCTGACTACAGTTTCCAATTAAACTCCAGCCTAACTATATCCCTTGCTCCTCCACAATTACTCTGGTGTCCTTGAAAATGACAGAGCATAGCTCCCTCTAGTAACCTTCCTCTTTTCTTTCCCCAGGACATGCATGTTATCAGCACAGATGAGAATCAGGTGTTTGCAGCAGTGCAAGAGTGGAACCAGAATGACACGTACAATCTGTATATCTCCGACACCCGAGGGGTGTACTTCACCCTGGCCTTGGAAAATGTCAAGAGTAGTCAAGGGCTGGAGGGGAATGTGATGATTGACCTCTATGAGGTATGTCATGACTCCAAACATCTCATTGCTATCTCAAGAGCTCATGGATGCCGTTACCCATGCCTTCTTACCCATCAGTCTTGTAATACAGATGTGAACAGCAGAGCCAAAAAGTGACTAAACATTTTACTCGTTTCTCAGTGCAATCAGCTGAGTTTCAAAGCCAGGTTTTACACAGATGTTGAGTTTAGGCCCAGCCTAGTAATATGAATAGTTTCACTGCTGTAATGTCCTGAAGGTTCTTGGGTGAGGAAAAGCTCATGGCTCTTTCCTGCATAGGAAGAGAGGCATCAGAAGATGTAATGGAATAGTCCCTTCAGTCCCTAAGAGGAACTCTAAGTTTCTCAGCCAAAATCCTGCTGACCTAAATTGGTCCAACCTACAGCTCTGAAAGCTCCCAATGCTTTGAATAGCATAATTCTCTAATTTTGGATTCATTTTTGACAGACTAATATCTTGGTTTAGAAGGAAGGAGAGACAGCAGTTTCCAGCTGTCTTTGTCACTTTCCTCAGCTTGGGCTATTCTGGGAACTGAAGTGATTTTAGGTGCACCCTCTTGGGCTAACCCATGAGCATGGACACTCTGCTACCTTATCTTGATGTCCCCTTTATCCTTGAGCCTTTTCCTGACAAGTATATTTTGCCTAAGCTCACCTGTAAGAAGGCCAATTTACATTGTCTTTTATGACAATTCATCCTAAGAATAAGACTTTCAAAGTGACCTTGTACTTCTCTTGCTCTGCTGCCTGTTTTACTTCTGGAGACAGTACCCAGCTAAGTAGAAATTCAGTAGCTGCTGTTTTGAGGGTCAGCTGCTTTTTTCAGATATCTTCGAGGGGATTTTCTGACCATTTGCAATAAAGGACATGAACTAGATCTGAGTTCCTTTGAAAATGAGATGCGTCCCACATTTTCCCATCCCTGCCTGCTATATAGTTTGCCTTCAGTTGCCCTGTACTTGGAAACCACCTTAAATTGTCCCAACAGAGAGCCCAAGTGTTGTACAGAAATGCAGATGAGCTGTATTAGGATGGGCCCTAGCATTTCAGTCATTTGGAGATTTTTACTGTTAATCTCTCTGCAACTCTGGCAGCCCATGGAAACACTGTTGCCTCTTATTACTGTCAGCTTGAGAAGCAGTTTCACCGCGTTATGTAAAGGTGTCCTACATCCCAGGGGGAAAGAAAAGCCTTTGTTTTGTTTTATTAAGCTGACACCACACAGTAACCTGGATTGAAATTGATGGAATCAGACTTGTAGCTTCATATCTGCTGATTATCTAGATAGAAAGAATATTGGCTGACACTGAACCTGGCACAAACCTTCCTTCAAATTTGATTTTCTAGCTGGAAGGGAACAGAAAGCCGTCCAGCATGATTCTCCCAGTAGGGTTGTTGCAAATGATGAATGCTCTAGGGGTAGATGGAGATGAAGACGAGAAGAAAAGAATCTATAGATAAATTAAAAGTGGAGAGATTGCAAAATGAGTCCTTCTGTGGTGACAGCAATATATTATATTATGATGTATATAAGCAGGATTATTCAAGAAGACGCCAGAGAAAGACCTGTTAAATGCACATGTGTCTGTATGCATGTTTGTCAGGTGCTAGAAGTTCATGTGGTTGCGTTGTAGTATGTTTGTGTGTGTAGAGTCATAAACTGATTCTACTTCAAGGATAAATCTGCTCAATGCTGCTCAACAGGGAATTGCATTGGACATGAAGAGAAGGGAGAAGTTCTTTCATGGTGCCTCGTCATTTTCTCCCTTCTCTTCTCCTGTAAGTTATCAGAAGCCTTTCACTCAGAGGTTGTTAGTTCAGTGTGTGGGCTCTTCTGCTGCTGCACCTTGTAGAGGATGAGGAGACCACTCCTAAAGGGACACTGTTCCCCCTTCTGTATGTTGGATAGGTCAGGGTGTAAGAATAGCTCTTCTCTCCACTACGTTTCAGTGCCACTTGATTGGTAGCACACTGGACTCAGCATTCAGTGGGTCTGCAGTCACAAAGGGGCTGTCCTAGAAACCATCTCCTAGAGCAAGAGAAGAGCAAGGATCACTGTCCACTGGGTCTGAGTGCCCTTTCAAGTTTGTGCACCTCTCTGATGATGTGTTATGGCTCTGCTTGGCTCTGTAGTTAGACTGGTTCACAGAAAGACAATCCTCCCTGTGGGAATCCATGCCTGAAGTGATAACAGACCTTGAGAGGTGTGTCTGTAGCTATGGTATATGTGTCTGTCGCTCCAGGACTTATTTCTTTTTTTAGCAGTATGCATCCTGGATGGGAAATATATGTTTGACATAGGAAGTTGGTGATGGGGAGTGAAGAGTGTGTTTTGAGTTGTGTGTTTGAGTGCCTTGTGTGAATGTTTCACTAGAACTGTAGACAGCATTTGTATCTGCACGCAGTGTATTCAGGGCAGAGAGGATCATCTACAAATCCTGCGTGGGAGCTGATGAAGTGCTTTTCCCTCTGACCACTGGTGGTCCTGCAGTTACTTGCATGAGTCTTTCTCTCTTATGATTGTATGAACAGCAGGGATGAACGGATCATTGTGTGTGTCATGGCTGTCTATATGCAATAGGTGTATCTCCCTACTGAGAGCATGCAAACATGTATAGTGCGTGTGGTCTTTTTTTAAGATAAAGCTGTCCAAGACTGACAGTATAACTTACACTTTGCTTTTTCTGGAAAGGATTCTGAATCTCAGCCCATGACTAGAATCATAAAAAGAAAAATTCACAGGATTTCAGAACACATTTATCACCTGATGTATAAAATGTTCATTAATCATTTATGGACAGCATTTCATAGGGACTATATAGTACAACTATTTCAGGACAACAACAAAGAAAAGCACAAATGGAGTTATAGGCTCTGGCCTCTGGTAGGAAAGGAACACTATGTTATTTTTCCAGCTCTGTCTATTCATGCAGCATCACTAGGAGACAGAGTACCCTTGTCTTAATAGGGTACCTTTCTACTACAGCAAAGAAATCCTGAACACTTAGTTAGGCAGTACCAAATAATCCAGCTAAGACACTGAAAATATTAGCTTTTTATGCTTATATCAACAAAAAATTAGTTAACTACTTAATTTAAAGACGATTGCCCATTATAGCAAGTCATGTCTAAGTCTTTACATAACTTCAAATGAAATTCAGTGCCATTGCTCAAGGAGGAAAGTGCTATTCAGAATGACTAAGTACACCAATGTACTATACCAATGCAGGGTACACTAGTAGTCCCACAGCATGTGACTGAAAGTGCTACTCATTGGGAGCTGTAGCATCCAAATCCAGCCACATAATTAAATCAGTTGAGCCAGAACAAACTCTGAGTCTGATGTGTAACTCTTTGCCACGTGATGCCATTTAAGTAATAATCTCTATGAATACAGTCTTGATGAGTGATTCTGTGTACTAGTTCTGCATCATAAGAAGAGATGGGGTAGATGACTGAACAGACTTGCTGGAAACCAAAAAGTTTCTTACTTCCCCCTCCTTCTCCCAGTTTCTCTTCCCTTTTTATTGCAGCACTCAGATTGCAGAATGACAACCTAACAAATTCATTCGCAAGCTGCAGCAGCTATTGGGCTATTGATTTTCAGTGTGCTGAGAAGATGGGAACATTCTGCAGTGTGAGTTGCGTTTTGAGGTTGATTTTTTCTCTTGGGCTTGGTTCCAATGTGAGTCTGTTAGCATCACATTTTTACAAAATCTTCCTGTAGGTCTGTGGAGTAAAGCTGTTGGGTAAAACACCAGGAAAAATAAAAGTATGAGAGTCTCATTGTTAGCTCTGTAACTAGCATTCTGGGTGGCCTTCTTGAGTCACCAGTGCCTTGGTTTCCTCAAAAGACGAAATGGTAATAAAAATACCTCTGTTCCCCAAGTTATCCTGTTGAGACACTGACAATTATGAAACATATTGAGATCCTTAGGTGAGATGTCCTAAGCAGGCTGTATGAGAATAGAAGCACTGAACTGCATGCGTGTGTTGCCATTTCCTTTGCAAGGCACAAATTGCTGCTGTTTCCTGCTACTGGAGGACAAGAGACAAATAATTGCCCTGTACATATTTCATCTTTCAGGGAGAAGGATGCCTACACAGTTGAGAGATTGTCATTTTACAGATAATGCTATTGACATCTTATTGTAGAATCATAGAATCATTAAGGTTGGAAAAGACCTGAAGGATCATCAAGTCCAACCGTCAACCCGCACCACCTAACTCAGTAAACTGTGTTCCTGTGCTGATTCTGAAATACAAGCTTTCTTTTCCATTTGTCACTTTTCCGCCTGTGATGGTCTTATCTTGTCCCCAGCACTTCAATTTGCCTTCCTTTGATGCTCCTTGGCAATTCTTGCCCTGACATCTACCACACTGACACAGCCACCAGATCCCTGTCGGGTTTGACAGGACACGTGAGACACAAGCACAGAACCTGCATCAGCTTGATTTATTTTTCAGCCATGTCAATTTTTCCTAGGTAGCAGGGATAAAAGGAATGTTCTTGGCTAACAAGAAGATTGACAACCAAGTGAAAACTTTCATCACCTACAATAAAGGAAGAGACTGGAGTTTGTTGAAGGCCCCGGACACTGACCTGAGAGGAAACCCTGTCCACTGTCTCCTAGTAAGTACCTGAAGGGGAACTTGGGGGTGGTAACATCCCAGAGCAATCTTTTTCTACCAGGTAAAACAAGACAGAGAGGGCAGCTCCTCTCTCCATGTGGTGTATCTCCTGGAGGGAATACTGCATATTAAAAGTGCAGTATGTCACTCTTGGGCTGCCAGATGGTATTGAAAGAGCTGGAATTGTAATTTAGCTTAATTTAATTTTATTTCTGGAACAAAAAGAAGCATCGTAGATCAGCTTCCTTCTGCACAGCTCATGGTCTCCTCTTGAACAGCAGATGAAACTGGATGCTGTTTCTGTGCAGTTGATTTTCTGGACACTAGATGGGAGGAGTGAGCCATTGTAGCTGTCAGAGACTTAATAACTTGAGACAGGCTCAGAGGAAAGGAGAGCTCTGATTTCTTTCAGGCCACCCAGTTGGCTTTATTAATATTTATCATTTTCTCTTTGAGCTCAGAAGTGAGAATCGACACATTCATCCAAATATATGTATAGCTATGTGTTGGGTATATATTGTATGTTTCTGGACTTATTGATACAGATCAACATATAGATAAGTCTTTAGTCATCATTATATGCAAACAGTTTCCAAAAGTGAAAGCAAAATATAAGCAGTGTGAATAGAATTGGAGATCTCTGTGGAATTAGAAAGCTCAGACTGATCTCAATATGTTTTTCAGCCGATATAATCTATACGCAGCAGTTGGGTAATACTCAGAACCCCAGCCTTTGGGATTTTCAATAGCTTTTATATTACATAAATTATGAAATGGTTCCAGGCAGAATCAGAGGCACTACTTACACTGCTCTTCCTCCTGCTGTCCGATACCTACGTGTTATTTTCTGTCTGGAAAAAAAAAAAATATATATATAATTTTGAGGCCATGCATTTGTTAGAATCTGAATCAGTATTACATTTTGTGCATTGTGGTATGTAGCTGAATGCCACACTAATCTCTTAACTGAACCCCATACATTTTTTGCAAGAGCAAAAAATAAATAACTTCATATTTGAAGCTGTTCAAATAATTTATTTTTTTATTCAGCCAAAATGCAAACCTTTAATTTTCTCTTCAGTTTGGAAAAAATAAATAGTGAGGACTAGGGGTCAAACAGAAGAGTTATTTTAGAGCATGGCTAAATTTGTGTTGTTTTTTTTTTTTTTTTTTCTTCTTCCAAGTATTTAAAAATTGTAACTAAGGGCATTTTTAAATTAAATCTTTCTAGAAGATGAAAACCAAAAAGATGACATTCAGAAAACTTTGAAGACATAAAGCAGTTGAATTTTTTAGAAGGGGCTATGTGTAGAAGTCTGTGTTTCAAATAGATTGTGATATAGTTTTAACTCGAGTGAATATATTTGACAAAAAAAGCACACCTTAACTTTTTCAAATTATTACCAATTTTATCAGAAACCCAAGATTATTATTATGTGATATGATAGTGTAGTATTTTGGGGGGGGGGCTGGCAAGGCAGAAGAAGTAAAATCTATGTGGACAAGTGAAATAATCAAAGTAAGCTCTATTCTTTTCCCATTAATTCAAAATTTGAATTCTGAAAAAATATCTGTCTTGGTATTGTTGCACACTGATCAAGAAAGATCTGATTTGCCATTGCAGTTATAAACGAGACAGAGGTATTGCTCTGCAGGGTCCTTATCAAACAATAATTTGCAGGAATTATGTATTTTATATACAACAGTATGCTGCCACTGTAGCTATCCACTATATAGCGGAGGTGGTTGTATGACTGCATATAAACCAGGACTGGATGGTTCTTATGGAGAAAGGGGATTATGGCTCCCTTAAGCCTTCCCGTCCATACTGTATCTGCCACTATACTCATGTGCACCTGAGAACAAAATTAATTTCATTTACAATTAGACCAGATATGCCTGGACAAGCTGGAAGGGTGATAAACTTGAAGAAGCCAAGCAAGGCATCATGAGCAGGGGCAGAACTACACTTGTAGGGACACAGTGAGAGCTGACCCAGAGAATCTCTTGGTTCTGTGTGGATTGCATATAAATCCTTGTAGTTCCAGTGTGCATAAACCACTATTTAAACACTGTTTTGTTTTTATGTTGCTCTGTATGCAACCATGTAGTTGCCCTGAGAATTGCTTCTGCCTGTACGAGCTCGATGTAAGCTTGTAATCCTGTTTTCACTGGAAAGCAATCACTTCCTAAATGCTCTGTGACTTCGTCTGAGATAGGCATCTCAGGTCTGTGGGCATCTGTAGACATTGGTCCATGATTTCAGGGTGGTAAGGGACAAATCCTCAATGGTCTTAAACCACGTAGCTCAGTTTTTGCCCTTCCAGAAGAACTGGAAGGAACTTAGTCCTTCCCCATGATAAAGCCAGAGGAATGTTTTAGCCATGTTTATTTTTCCTCTTCCCTTATCATGAGGTGAAACAGGTAAGAAGCCTTTTTTGTTGCCTGAGCTTGTCTGCCTTCTTCATGCTTAGGTTGTCACAAGCTGGTGGAATGACAGCAGAGCAGGGATCATCAGCTGAACATACAGGGTCTCAGGTGGTCGTCTTGCAAATCTGCAAGAAAGCAAATAGATGAAATCAGAAGTAAACTGACTTGTTAGGTCTTTCACAGGAACAGGCAGTCTGCCTGCAAAAGAAAAGGAGGTACAGAAAATGCACCAAAACCACAAAGTGGAATAAAAATCCTACAAGAGAAAGTCAAGCTATTTAAAAATTTTATTTGAGTTTCACAGTTAATGATGGGGGAAGATGAAGGCAGAATATGGAATTCGAGACTTCAGGAAATGGTAGAGAAAAGACCACAAAGTTGGAAGTGGTAGGGGAAATTTTCAAAGCAAAAGCATTGAAATTGTTTTACATTCCTGGAAATAAGTCAGGGATACAGATGGCATTCTGCTGAGGAAAAGCATGGAGAAAAGGAATTGTTCCCTGCTCTGAGGCAATTCTGTTCCGTATCGATGTGACATAGCTGTAGTATTTAAACAGTTCACACACTCCACTAACCTCTTTAGCCACACTCTGTCTACCCATGCATCACCAGAAGTTTTACCTCCTTACATCAGTTGCGCTTTTTTTCTCTACATATTACTGTTCATGGCATGATCCTGCTTCTCTTTGTGGCATAGCTAAGTGATTTCTTAATAGCCCATTGGACATCTAACTTAGGTCCCATCCTTTCTCCATGGCAGATACTAATGCTGGTTTTCAGCATAATTGTCTCTAGTAATAGCTTGGGACACAGCAATGGCGTATGTTCCAGCTTGTTGGCAGAATGGGATCTGCCCTTTCCCAGAGTGACAGGGCGCTCCCCAGGCTACGAGTGCAGTGCTGTCTTCTGTGCATCTGGTTTTAAACCTAAACTAAGGGAGAGTTAATGCAGTGATAAGTACATAGCAGCCAAGTTGGTAGCTAGGATGGTTAAGAGTGAATCTGGTTGAAACAAGGCAAGCCAGAAGGAACCATCCCTGTACTGACAGTAGGCTGGAAGTGTATTTTTCAAAGCAGGTCAAAGAATTTCTTTGCATTTTTTGTGAGATGGCTCTGAATAATGAGGATGGAGGAAAGCAATGACATTCCACCTAATCCCAAGGTTTTATTTTTCTTGTTTACATCACTTCTTTTCTATGCTGACTACACTTAGTCTTCATAAAATAGCTGCCAAGGTATTATATGCCAGAGATGCTGGTTTTGTTTGGTTCTTCCTTGTGCTATGAAGTGGTTAACTGAGAAGTAATTCTATCGTTCAAGTTATGAGTATCTGTCTAGGAGAGTTAATCAATTAACTTTCAAGGATGGTCTTGTGGTTAGAACACTGGTCTGAATCTCAGGAGAATCTTGATTCAATTTTTAGTCCTGTCTCCAATTTCCTGTGTGACCTTGGGCAAGTCATTTATTTTCCCTGTGTATTTTCTATCTGTGTCTCTTCCCCAGACATCTGTTTATTCCCTCCCACATTTTGTTTGTCTTGTCCATATGGATTATAAGGATTTCAGGACAAAGACCCGTATCTAATAAGGGAGGGCATTCACACCATCTGCTACACAATAATTTAAACATCTAAGTGAAGTGTTTTGGATCTCTCTCCTGGAAGTGTTTATCTCTTGTCACTGCTCCTTGCTATTGCAGGTGAGCAAATAACATGACTACTCCTAGCTTTGTGAATGGTGTCTACCATCATCCTTGTGTTACAATACCTTGCCCCACTCCTTATCAGGGACAGTCACTAATACCTGTTTTGTATGTGTCATGCCATTGGAGACTCTTTAGATGGGCTTTGCAGAGCAGCCAAGAAGTGGGTTTGTAGGTATTTATGAGAAATTTTACTAAGGACTGATGAGCCTTCTGAGAGGGGAGCATAAAAGCGCTGTCTAGAAAATATTAGGAAGCAAATAATGAACTCCAGCATGATTGTAAGACCTATGGCAGTGAGCAGACCAATATCATATAAAGATATGCTTTATCTTCCATCTAGGTTGTAAATGCCCCATGACAGTGGTTATCTTTCCCTTGGTGTCTGTGCAGCACCGAGCACTGCTGGATAGTAGGCAATGACAGGGAAACACAAAATTGGTGATTCCGATGAAAATGACAATTTCAGTAGCCTGTTGGCAAAAACAAGAAGGATAGAGGCAGTTGATGGACGTTCTAAAAAACAAAGCTGAGATGTCTGTGTATGAGTTAAGCTGTGGGAGCTAGAGGAGGAACAAAAAGGAACCAACAGTGTGGTGAAAGACAAACCAGTCTGGAGAAATACCTGTCAATGAACTACATAAGGATACAGATAGAGAAGGTGTACATCAGGGATGGAGGGGAGAATGCTGCTACAGTAAAGACATGAGATGGCCATGGGCAATAACTTCAGGTGTTTGGCTAGAGTCGAGAGGTTAGTTTCTACACAATATCCTGTTGTCACTAGACACTGAAAGTGTTACTGCACTCTAACCAATAAGAAGTCATGCCACTAAAAATACCATCTTTCTGCTTAGACAGGTGATCTGTCTTTTAACATTTGAGATATATATTCCATTTCTGTCTGCTATGTCTGTGAAATGAGACAAATTTGAAAGCAAACCTCTGGTAGCACAAAGATTTGAGTCTAATGAGGTCCAATCTCTGTCAGAGTAGGGAATTGTCTGGGTTGCTGCCATTAGCTACAGGCTTCAAAATGATGAAGTGAGCTTGGAGTATGTTAGTTTTAAAAACAAGTTCTGTATTTAGTCTTTTCACAACGTACAAAAGTGTAAAAGGGTAGAATTCATTCTCTTGCAATGCTTTTCCACTTCCTGCATACATGTCAGCTCGGTTTGGTTTCCCCTCCCTCCCTGCACCCCCAGGCTGCTCCGACAGCTGCCCTCACAAGGCTGTCAGTTAGAGTTAGGCTGCTCAGGACGTTCCATTTGGCAGGTTGTGTTCCCTTCTGTACAACCCATGTCCCCTTTTTCTGTTTCACATAAGTGAGAGCTTCCATCCTTCCATACCACATTCACCTTTGCCCTAAAATTCCTCCTGTCTTTTGTTGTCGTTTTCCACAGGGAGATTTTCATTTCAGAGTCATAGACACCTACCTTGAGATGGGATGGATCAGTGGTTGGGATGGATCTCTGGTCTTCCTCCAGTGACCTATGGGGCTAGGTCTCCTGCAGAGGAAACCTACAAAACTTTTGGGGCTGGAGACCTAGCCTTTAGGCAACTGGTACTAGACAGAACGACCTGCCTCCTAAGGGCCTGAAGGGCCTTCTGCATAGCCTCTCCTGCTCGTCTTACAGAGCTGTGCAAGCTGAAGCGTGGGCTTTGTGGTGTTTTCCTGTGTGATGTTTCCCTCAATTTGGTCAGTTGGCTTCAGGTTTTCTTGCTAATATTTTTCCACCTCCCTAGCATGTTTCACAAAGGATGCTTTGTGAGGTTTGGAAGAAAAAAGTACAGAAAATAAAAACCAAAAGAAGGCAAAAAATAGCAAAATTTTTGGAAATTACCAGACTATGGCTTTGGAGGGAATTTTAATGGCAGCTCTGGAAATCTGCCTGTCTTGCTTCTTGCTCACCTAATTCATTCTGTACTGTTCCTGTCTTATCTGAGTACCTGACATACAAAAGCAATAACAGATAGGTGAGGTTTTCCTTGATGTATTTGTATTGAAATCTCAAAGGTCAGATCCAGCTGTGGTGATGAAAATTGTATTAAAGAACTTTTCAACTAACACTTTCCAGTCCTGGTATTTCTTCTTAGTGCAGTGCAGAATAGAGTCATGTGTCAAGAATAGAGTCATGTGTCAAAAATAGAGTCGAGAACTGGTATGATACTGCCTGAATTAAGCTGTTCTTCTGGGCTAGTTAGTGGTGACTCCACACCACATCAATAGGGTTATATTGCTTCTTGTTGCAGAGATAGCTGAGGCACCACTACTGAGAGTCACTTCATCCTCTCTGCAGCTTTGCCTGCTTCTCAGAGCCAGGAGAGCTAGGTAGTCCTTACCATTACCTGCTCTTCCAAGCCTAGTTGCCTTCTTTGTGGGTACGGCCTTGAAAATCTTATCCTTGTGAGAGAGTTTCAGCCTAGTGAACAGTTTCCCGGTGGGAATGGGTTGTGTTTGAAAATTATAATGAAGTTCTCGCAACAGAACTAGGACAGTGGCTGTTTATTTGTAAGGGTAACTAGGTGTAGTGATTAGGCAATAATACAGAAAGATACTGTATATTTCTAAGCCTGTAGAAATAAGGAGCATGCGCTTCATGTTTTTTACTTTTATTTCCCCTTTCTCCATAGCCCTATTGCTCCCTTCATCTTCACCTGAAGGTCTCAGAGAATCCCTATACCTCAGGAAACATCGCCAGCCGAGACACTGCCCCCAGTATTATCGTAGCTTCAGGTATGAAACATTTAAAGATTGTCTGTGTATGATGTGCAAACACTGACAAAATCTTGAGTTTGTGATGAGTGTGGAGGATGTTGAGTGGGGCGTCACACCACCAGTGGCGTGAAGGAAGAAAGGCTGTCAAACAGAGGTCCTTATGGACCTTCAACTTGTCAGATGTTTTTATGGAAACCAACCTTCAAGACCAAAAGGATCACTTCTAGTCCTCTACTCCCATGAACAATAGTTTCAAACCAGGGCATTTTCTTTGCATATGGAGATGTGTAGAGCTGCATGCATTGGATGTTTTATATATATTTTCTTAAAACTGAATGCCTTTTCCTACCTTTCACCCTCTTTCTCTTCTAAAAACAAATGCAAAAAGGTAAATAAATACATGTACTTCCCTGATTTGCTACTTCTGCTGTTTCTTAGAGTGTTGCATCAGTAATCAATGTTCATCTTACAGGTAATATAGGCACTGAACTATCAGACAATGACATCAGCATGTTTGTTTCTTCTGATGCTGGAAACAGTTGGAGACAGGTAAATTACCCAGAATCACAGAATTAAAGAGTAATCATAGAAAATTGTCATAGAAGTAGATTCAAAATGCTGCTTACTTTTTGTTTCTTTTGGTTCAGAGTAGCTTTTTGCAAGCGTATGCAAAAGGGAAAACTTTTATTCCCTTCTTAGAGGTAGAGAGATGCCCAAAGAAAAAGACTGAATATGTCATTTTTATAATTCTACTCAGAGTTTGACTTCAGTTTAATCCTATAGCAAAGTGTAAAACAGATTAAAATATTAATATATACAGGGAGAGTATGTGTTTTCTTTTACTGTTCTACAGCCCTTGTACTGGTCAAACCATTTTTCTCTTTATCCGTTATTATAATTTCCAGGGAATTAGTAGTTGCACTAGTCTACTTCTCCTTCACTGTGTGTGGGACTTATTTCACTTAAGTTGAGTTGTCCAGAATTCAGTGACCATATAAACTGGTAATTTTGCCTTGCTCTTAAGTTAGTGGAGAAAATGACAGAATTCAGTTCATCCTGTTGTGAAGCTATCTGTCTCTCCATTAATTGTGGAAAGAGACTGGATGATGAAATTTAATCAACTGCCCAATATTTAGTGAAATCCCACTTGTTAACAAAACGTTGCTACCCTTTAATGTGTTTATCATCATAACAGGAAGTCCTGCTTTTCGTATTTTCTGGATAGGATATCAACTTATGGAGAGAAGTTACTTCACCAGATTGACAAGTGCTGCTGGAGACCAGATGTTTGCAGAAAGCCAATACAAAAAAGATACAGGAGAAGAAAATCTTTTTTAAATATTTGATATTCTAAGAATCTAATTATTTTACAATGTTTGACCATGGAGATAGGGCCAGATAAGTGCAAACACATAATGTTCTTCTTTAAACAAAAATCTGTCATCAAAAGGACAGAAATTGTTGATTCTTGCAGAAATTCATGTTTCTAACTTTCTATCAAGCCAGAAGCAGAATTCATTTTCCAAGGACCTGGGAAAAGTTTAAAAAAGCAAAAAAAACCCTCAGAAACCAAAACCCAAGAACTCTCTCTATAGAGAATGCCTTCCTCTACTCAGTAACTTCCTTAGCCACATACCTGTCATCTGTCATGATCATACTTAAAGAACTATGACATTTTATTAATACTAAGGAAAATAGATTTAAATATATGGGTTTTTTTTTTCAGATCTTTGAGGAAGAGCACAGTGTTCTGTACCTAGATCAAGGTGGAGTGCTGGTTGCCATGAAACACACATCTCTGCCTATCAGACATCTCTGGTAATGACTCTGTCTATGCTCAATGTCTGTTGTTCTTTTCAGATGCCAGGAAGTAGGCAAGCTGCATCCAGAGTTTTCTGTAGCTACAATCTAGAAAATATCAGTGAAGATACTGGCAAACATTAACTCAGATAAAGCTAAGAAATCTTGGCAATCTAACATAGTTTTGGTTTGTCCAACTCTGAGATATTGTTAATGCAATTCCATGACTTTCCTGGTTTACCACAACTTGGCTTCTTGGGTTTGGTTATTTATGTAATATGAATCTGGATTATGGTTTTGTCTCTTATTAAGTTGCCAAAGTATTCTTAATTTTCAAAATTATTGATGAACTTCTCTTCTCTGTGGCAGGCAGCACTTATGAACCAGAATTTTGTTGAATAGATTCAGGGTTATATAGCCAATAAGATAAGTGTCCCCACTAGTTAGCACTCTTGAGTTTAAGGGGTAGGTATAATATAGTTTTGTGATGTTTTCAAGGATTTACTTCTGCTACAGTTAGTGTCATATCAATATCTGAAACACACAGACCGAAGTCTTAGGAGGTGATGAGTGGTTTCAAACTTTCACTTAGACATGCCACAGGGAAGACTTCTGGTCAGAAGAGACAAAGCTCTTGTGCTCTGGAAATCCAGCCTCCTTAAAATGTCTTACGTTGGGGACCCAAAAATAAGATGCTCAAAATCACTTGTTGATTTAAAAAAAATCCTAGCCCTCAGGTACATTTTGCCCTTATAGCATCAATCTCTAACGTAGCTTTATTTTCCACCACTTAAGTATTGGCTATGGATTAGCAGTATAGTGTCAATAAGTTTGATCAATGCTCTGATTTATGATGCTTCCCAAAAAAGTAGTTATTTAAAGGACTAAAAATGCAGTATTGAAGAACAGAAGCTCCTTCCTACTTATCCATAGCAGCTGTAGTGGACTAGAAAGTCTCTTCAAGTAAAGTAGGAGGAGAGTAAGGAAAGAAGATATTAATTCTGCTCTCTCCACTAGGTTAAGTTTTGATGAAGGGAGATCTTGGACTAAGTACAGTTTCACATCCCTCCCACTGTTTGTAGATGGAGTATTAGGGGAACCTGGAGAGGAAACTCTCATCATGACGTAAGTGAGCATGCCATTATGCTGATGTTGATGGGAACTACACTGAAAATTTCTTATGAGGGTTGTTCATAACATAATAGCATTTCTGGTTGGGGAGCAAACCAGGGGCTATCTGTAGTTCAGAGTAGGTAGTCTTCTGTTGCTAAATCATCAATGTTTACTTGTGATATGATTCAGGGAATGACAACATTGTTCCTTGCAAGCTGCAAAAACACTGTCGCTTAGCTTATCAGCATGAAACCTGACTCCTCAAATAGCATGTGATTTAAAGGAGAGTTACTCTTGACAGCTGAATATTTGAAAGAAAAATGGTGGGGTATTTTTATAGCTGTGTTTTGCTGTTACTTTCTCTTTTTTTAACCAAGACACAGAAAAATTAAGACATTCTTTTGTAAAAATGAATGACAGAATTTTGCCTGGAGCCTTACTCATGAAAAATTATTATTATTTTCAATGTCGTATGCTGAGCTCTGCATGGTGCATAAATCTGGATTCACCCTGCCAGAAATTTTGACATTTTACCTGAGATCAGATTTGTAAAAACAGGAGGAAAATTCAGTTTCTATTTGTAAAAAGATGGACTGACCTGTAAAAAATAGAAAAAGTGGCTTGGAAACTAACCTGGGCTAATAGAGATGTATGAAGAATGATCGCTTCAGGTTTGAATTTTAATTCGTGTGGAAGGGATTCCCAAAGCTCGTAATAGAGATATTGAAATCTTATAGGTATAATTGTCTTCAGCTCCACGTCAAGTCTTTTCTGTATAGTCATTTTGGGGATTGGCATAAGTGGGAGGATCTTGATCCACCAAATAAAAGCTACACGTGATTTTTAAGAGGGTTGTAGGTATTTAGGAGCCTAAGTCTGACTTTCACTATGTCAGTCAAGTGAAAATCAGTGGGACTGGCACTCCTAAAGCTATTAATCTCTGTTGGAAATTTGTGGGTGACTGTACCTCTCCAACTACCAGACTCCATCTGGCGTTAGCCTTTGCTTTATGCTCTTTCTGCTGTGTTCTGTAGCGTGTTTGGACATTTCAGCCACCGCTCAGAGTGGCAGCTGGTGAAAGTAGACTACAAGTCCATTTTTGACCGGAGATGTGCAGAAGAGGACTACAGGCCTTGGCAACTCCACAGACAGGTGAGAAGCAAGGGCACTGGGATCTGACCTAAAGCAGCAAGTGATCCTGCAGTTAAAAATCAGCATGATCCAATGTCTTTTCACTTTAGGCTGGTATGTCAGATCATCCCTTGAAGGGTCTGTTTTGTTACATAGGTGTGTTGGCCTCAGATTGCACTCTGAGCTCCAAAGCATGAACCCTTTTGGGTTTCATTCTCCATCCAGGCAATTAACTCAGACTTATCCAGAGCTAAGGAATGCAACAACAGCAGAAGCACTGCTGCTGAAAGAGGCCTGAACTTCTTAAATCTTACATCTCCTATTGAATTTCCTCCTCCCTCTTCCTCCATGTCCTGGTTTCTGTATCCTCAGAGCCAGCATCTTAAGACCCTTCTAGTTGCTTTCACACTTGTTTCTCCAAATTACTGCCCTCTTAGCCTCATTTCTTTCTCACTTGGTTTCATCCCTGTTCTGTCTCTCTCAGCAGTGCTGTGGGAGTCAGGCACTTTATTCCTCAGTCCGTTGGGCTCCCATGCCCTCTCCCTTGCATCCTGGATGCAGCTGCTGCATCACTCCTGGAACCATTGCTTAAGTGCCCAGCAAGGTAAAGTGCTGCACACAATGCCTCTGCCTGCATTGTGGGCCACCTCCCCACCTCTGCCGAGTTTGACACAACAACCTGTGTTATATCAGGTTAGAATAAAATATGGCCCAAATTCTGTGATTATATAAGCACCACAGGCTCCCCTGAAGTCTAAAGTGAAAACACCCATTTATATCATCAAAGGTATATCTTACTGGGCAAGAATTTAATAATGAATATGAAATGAAAGTAACTTGACTCAGACTAGCTGCTCACACAAGGCACAACTCCACACTAAAAATTACCAGTTATGACTTAGATCCTTAGATGTTGAAAATCAGTACAGCTTCCTTGAAATTCAAGGAAGCACAACATTTTACAGCAGTTGCCATTCAGGCCCTTCAGTTTCATTGGCAAATCAAAAGCCATGAAAAGTTTCTCTTTCCTACAGCGATTTTAACAGCATAAAAGGTAAAAAGTGAGGCCCCACTGTATTTTGTTCTTTACTTTCTTGTGCTTCCATAAGCAAAAATGCCAAGGATTTTGCAGTATATCTTTGAGGATGTTGGCTTTAGAGCTTGCAGAGCTATTTTTAGGAAATCTGCTGTGGACTCTTGCCTTTTGATTTGCTTTCCATTGAGATTACAAGGCTGAGCCTTGTTCCCTAGATAGAAATATTTAGCAGGGTGCTGAAGATAGGATTGAACAGACAAGGAAATGTTATCATCTACTTAACAAGTCAAACACTTTAAAACCTGAACTCATAGTCTGTGGAAACTATTTACATACACACATACTAGTAGCTTCCACTAAACAAAGTTATTGCTGAAGAGATCAGACCAAAGAAAAAGACCTGTTCTGTGTCTCCTATTGCAGAGGGATCAGACTGTGTTTTCAGTTGCAATCTATAAATGAGAGCTAGTCCTGAATCAATAGCTCATTGTCTTTGGAGCAAATTCAGAACGGAATCAGATACATAAGTAACCTCAGATCATTTCTTAGTGTGTATTGGAAAATCTGGTTTAGTTTCAGTTAAAGCTTCAGTAGCTTTAATTAGGTTCAGTGTACTGACACAGCATTTGACTTCCCATCCTGCTCCCTGGAGTCACAGCTCCCATTGCACAGGCTTGGAAAAACTGGGTGATACAAATAGCCTCGTGGGTGTCAGAGAAAGATATTTTTGGTTTTGTTTCCAGGGAGAAGCTTGCATCATGGGAGCAAAAAGGATCTACAGGAAGCGCAAGTCAGAGAAGAAATGCATGCAAGGAAAATTTGCAGGGGCTATGACCTCGGAGCCATGCGTGTGCACAGAGGCAGACTTTGACTGGTGAGCAATGGGCACAAGAACTGTGTTCTTTCTACCACACCAATGCAGAGTTCACTAGAGAGGCTGTATGCTTGCAGACAGTAGATATTCATAAACATTTAAGTGGCTAAATAGGTTGCTCCCTGATTCTGCAGGTATGTCAAAAGAAAGAAAGGTGAAATAGATATAAGTAATCTGTTAAGGCTCCAAAAAAATTAATGTTAAACAGATCATTTTTCAGGTCACATCTGAGCTCTGTGCAGCATTGAGATAAAAAGTCCATTTAGCACGTCTGACCTCAGCAAAGACCAAGGGTGGCTGTGAAAGTGGTATGTAGTGTGTGTAAAAAATAAAAGACATTCTTCATATGTGTACACACACACACATGTATGGATATGTAAAGGTAAATATATATTCATATGCAAAGTAGGCCTTGATCTTCTGGAAATCAGTATCTAGGTAATTCATGGGTCTTCTGTTCTATCTGAACCATCATGTCTGAAAGTATCTAACAGATAATGTGTTTATTATTTGGGTAAATCTCCTTATGAAGCCTTTTCTCTTCTGCTGTATGCTATGGGAAATATAGTCCATTGGTGAGTTATGAACGGTGTGATAAAATGTTCAGCTTCTGGTTTCGTTTCAAGATTCCTGCT